AATGATCATTAAAAAAATTAATTAAATGTGTGTGATTTAAACAAAATATTAACTAAATATTTTTCTTTGTTGAACTTCTTCAAATCAATTTAATTTGAGTTTTACGCAACTGGATATAGTGAAGTAAAAAAGAAATTTTAACCTCAAAATCAAGTAGGAAAAGAATAGTTATCACTTACAATTTAAGAACTTCCAATTACAATTAAGATCCCCGTAAATAATTTTAAAAGTATTTATCGGACTTTAAAATTTGCAAAAACCAAACTTTAAAATATTTTTGACTCGAAAAGCCATTGCTTGATATGGAAAAATTTTTTAAAACTGTTAACTACAAGATTAATTAGACTTAAAATCATTTCTTTTTAAGGCGATCTCAAATTAAAGCTTTTCACGCTTACGAGTGACTTTAATTCATGTGATTAATTTTTTTAGTAATTTACGTAACTAAATTAATTGTTTTTACATACTTTAGTATGCGGTTAATTAAGAATAGGAAACCTGGATAACTATAAGGATACGCAATATTCGTAAAATATCTTACATTAAAAAAATCATCCATTTTATAAAACAAGTCTTTAAAAAAATGTAATAAAAAATCAAGAAAAGTAATTATTTACTGCTTCTTTTCTAATGATTTTCTTCGTACAAATTAAGAACATAATCCATTTCTATTTCTTAATATTTGTGCGTTTCATCGGTTACTGTTTGCGACATTATGTATGTTTAAAATAACAATAATTTAATATGAAATGTTATATATATATATATATAGTTTCAAAAAAAGTACAACTGAAAAAAAAATAAGTAAACTGTATTACGCATTAAATATTGCCTACTATTTATTAAATGCAATCGCCCTTACGTAAAGCTAATTGCTCAAAATTAAACTTTTTCCTAGAAAAAAAGAATAANGAGAGAGAGAGAGATAGTTTCAAAAAAAGTACAACTGAAAAAAAAAATAAGTAAACTGTATTACTCATTAAATATTGCCTACTATTTATTAAATGTAATCGCCCTTACGTAAAGCTAATTGCTCAAAATTAAACTTTTTCCTAGAAAAAAAGAATAAACCAAAATTATGAATAATAGTTTAAAATATATGGATTAAAAAATAAAAACCATCGATGCATAAAATATCTTTTTATGCTTTTGTCTTTATAAATATGAATTTCTGAAGTTAAGAAAAAGTATATTTTTTCCTTTCAAAAATCGTTATTGATTATGAATTTATTCCACCACCATATGCACTGGTTTCATCGCCAAAAGTAAAAAGTTTTTGCGAAAATAAAAGAAACATTGAATTTTGACATTTGATTCTTTTTTTTTTAAAAAATAAGTGGGAAAAGTTCCCTATATTTGTTTGGGATGCGATGAAATTATAGTGTAAATATTAGCTATATATAGTCTGCTTAATCTTTGCAGGCGATAATACAGGTGTACATAAGATAGGGATTATTTTTAAGATTTGGAAATTGAGCAAAGTCTGGCGTTTTGCTTTGGATAATTTTTTTCCTTTGGTGTACGAATGGTGAAGGTAATCTTTTTTAGTAAATGCAATTTCATAACTGTTATTTTTTAATAAAAATTCCAAAAAAAAATTTTTTTTATATATAAATTTTGGGAATATATTAAACAATTAATGGCTTGGATTTATTATGTGAAGCAAAAAAAATTATGTGAGGTAAAATAAAATTTAAAAATAAAAAGAATTAAATGCCTAATTGCTAAATGTGACCCGCAAACACAATGCTTTTTTAAAAAAATTTAAATACAAAACGTTTTTGCGAAAATTTAAAGAAAAAATTGGTTGAAATAGAGAGAGATTAAATAGACTCTTCATTTACCGAAATAGCCTGAAAAAATCTTATTTCAAGTAAGCAAACATTCCACTAAATCGAATTTATGCAAATTTTTAAGAAAATTTTGAAAGAATTATAGAAAATTTCGAAAAGATAATTGGAAATTTAAATTACTACTTTACAATAGAGCATTAATAATTAAAGCTATTCCAAAAAAAAAGGAAAACAATTAACATAAATTTTAGTGTTATGGTTAGAAAAAGATTTTCGGTACAATATCTTACAATGAAAAAAATGGAAATCAATATGTTCTGTACGATCTGTATGTTCTGAACGATTTTAATTAAAGTAGGAAGAGTTGAGAAGAATACAATCTACTGCACGTTCCCCTAATTGAAACTTTTTACTTGGTTCGTTCTGGATAATCCATTCCCGGTTATTTGAGAATCTACTCTAATGCTAATGTAAAATAAGTTTCGTTTTATTGTTATTTTAAAAACATATAGGGTAGGCCTAATGCACCTATTTCAGAGTAGAAAGTTATGAGTTTTCAATTTCTGAAATTCTGAAGTTCTTTTATCTCAGATGGAATACTAAATAAGTTTGTGAAAGTAATTATATTAAATTGTGAAAGTTTTACTACACTGTTAACAATTTGGGAAATTATAATACTATGCAATTTTTATACGTTATTAAATTAAACAGTATAATTGGACTTCTTGGTTGTGATTATATGGTACTAACGATATTATGGTTCCATTTGAATGGAAGGAAAAGTTAAATTCTACATTATTATGGTTGCAGTGAATATGAACCATATTATAGTTCAAGTTCAACACTTGTTTCAATGTTGAACTGATTTTCTGCAAGTGTATCAGCTCAATGTCTACATCTTATCAGCAATCGCAAAAAAAATATGGAATTTTATTGAATTAATTTGGCTGATCTTTAAGCAAAAAAGTAAAACATCCATCTATCTATCTATATGTATGCATATATGCATGTATGTATGTATGGATAGATAGATAGATAGATATAAGAATAAAAGCATTTTGTTATAATTTACTTTTCCAACAATGTTAGAAATACTCTTTAATACGATCAATTATTTCCTAATCGGTAGTTTGTGTGAATTGTCGAATCAAAATTGATAAATTTAGTAATTTTTAACAGCTTAATTTATTAAAGTAATTTTGGTGTAATTTCGTTGTGTCAGTCTCTAGATTTAGACAAAGATTTAAATTCTAGTTTTTTTTTTGACACCTAGAATATTCATAATTTTATTCTTAAGTTTAATAAATAGAATTTTATGCGTCATAAAGATTCCATTTTATAATTCCTCAATGAATGAATGAATTCGCATTCTATTGAATGAATGGATTTTTTCACCCTATTCACTTTAATGTCTACATCATTCCAGCAATTGCGAAAAACAATGTTGAAATTTATTAAATGAATTTGACTGATCTTTATCAAAGGTAAAATATCTAAAAATAAATAAATAAATAAAATAGAAAACTAAAAAACATGTTTCTTGTTATTATTTACCTTTTTTTTTAACTATATTAGAAATACTTTTTAATACGATCCTTCATTGCAATTTGTTGGAATCGTTGACTAAAAATTTATTAAGTAATTTTGCATTTGAGTAATTCCGGCATATCAGTCACTACATATATATATATATATAACGATTTAAATTCGAAAGTTGTTTTTTTTTTTCACACTTAGAATAATCATAATTTTATTCTAAAGTTTGATAAATAAAATATTATGCATCATAAATATTCAACGTTATAATTCCCTAATGAATGAATGAATTCGTATTCTAGTGAATGAATGAACTTTTCCACTCCATTCAGTTTAATGTCTACATCTTTTCAGCAATCGCGAAAAATTTTTTTGAAATTTATTAAATGAATTTGGCTGATCTTTATCAAAGGTGAAATATCTAAAAATAAATAAATAATCAAGTAAATAATTAAATAAAAGAGAAAGCAAAGAAAATAAACTTTCTGTTATAATTTACTTTTTTTACTTATATTAGAATTATTCTTTAATACAATCCTTTTTTTTTTATTTGCTTGAAATGTCTTATCAAAATTGATAAATTCAGCAGTCATGGACAGCCAATTTTATTAAAGTAATTTTGTAGAGTAATTTCGATATGTCAGTTACTAAATTTAGAATAAAATTTAAATAGTAAAGTTTTTTTTGACACCTAGAATAATTATAATTTTATTCCTAATTTTAATGAATACAAATTTATATGTCGTCAGGATTTCAGTTTCAAATTCTTTGGTGATTTGCTTTATTATTTAATGAATGTGCTTTTTCATCCCATTATTTAAAAAAAACAAAAAACATCCGTACGAAACTATAAATATTTTAAATAAAGTATAAGTTTATGGAATTAAACAAATTCCACACTGCAGATTAGTATCAAAACACTTATTAAATATGTTTTCGAAATGAGAGAAATGCTTTTTTATAATATGAACAATTCATAGATTTTGAAGACGGCAAATGAAAATTGATTTTTGAATTAAAATAATTTTAAGTCTTTTATTTTAAATGTTATAACCGTATGGTTTATTTTCTAAATTATGTAATACTAATATGTAGTTCAAAACTTGATTAACTCGCTGAATTATTTTATGCATTTATTTAGAATATACAACAATAAGAAAAATTACTTATACGCACTATATTGCATAACAAATAAATTAATGCTTTCCTTTTAAAAAATTCACGAAAAAAAATTCGCTTAAAAAAACATTTATATGCAAAGCGTAACTCATTATCTAAAAAATGAATAAATCATAAAATAATTTTTTATCGATAGAATTTAACAGACAATTAATATCATTTAAATACTTGATCAAAAAAAATAATAAATTCATTAGTATAAAAAAATACATCTTAAAGAAATATGATAAACAAACAAATTATTTTACATTACACTTTCCGTTTTATTTGAATTTAATCGTGTGATGAAATATAAATGTATTCTTGATTTAAAAGAAATGAGGGAATATAATAACAATGGGTTAAAAAAAATTGATCGCTATACTCTTACCGTTGTAGGTAAACAAAAAGAAATTCGTTTCAAGCCTAGATCAAAAGCATTCTCAACTTAGTTTAATTTCCTTTTTACTTTAAACGGATATGGGGAAGAGGGGGGAGAGAGATTCGATTTAGTTGAAAAGGACTTTGCAGTTGGAAAGTTTAGAGCAAGCGAGCATTATATTCTGTGTTGTGTTGACTTCCGACTGTCTATAACAAGCCGATAATTAGGTGTACGCCTAATCGGCCCTTCGGTAAGAAAGCGAAAGAACGAACTAGTATTGAGATGTTACGGGGACATGGAATCAGATGGTGAGGGTGAAATTAAACCACGCCCCGGACGTGATCAAGGCGGGGCTGAAGGAGGGTGATGATTGGGTGAAAGGGAGCTACGTCACTTGGAAAAGGTGGGGCAAAGTATGTCGTTAGTGATCGGCGGAGGAGGATTTGCATGCAGAGGGGCGTAGTTCTAGGACAGAGCGGTGCGAACTTGGTTTTGTGTGCCTTTCCATATTTACCTAAGGCTGACACTCTACACAGACGAAGTTTAGCCGGAGCTGCTTCCAAGAGTACCTAAGATTGGAAAAGTCACTCACTTCCCTTTATCCACCCGTTTGTCGCTCGAGTGTTTACACGGTACCACACACGTGGTCTCGACCTAGACCCGAGAGGTCACCGGTCCGATTCACGCCAACTGATTTGATTACCACTTGTCCACTCCAAATGCCGCGTACTTCGTAATAAGAGTTTTGTTTCTTTTTTATACATCTCTGTGTTGTGACTGTTATTACAAGCAACTTTCAAAATGATGCTAAGCCATAAGGGCTACCCGGACTCGAGTTGTAGCATGGGTACCATGCAACCCATGAGTGCTATGAGCAACAGTTATAGTATGAACAGTGCAACGGCCTCATCCATGAGCATGGCTGGCATGAACTATTCTCCGCAAAGTTTTGGCACCAACATGATGTCCGCTTCCGCCATGGGAGGCATGGGACCCACTGCTGGAATGGGCATGGGTGTCGGAGGCACTGCAGGAGCATGTATGTCACCAACTATGACAGCGATGACCCCGCTTGGAGGTATGAACTCTTTGAACCAAAGTATGAATGGCATGACTTCCCCAGCATGTATGGGCTCTATGACAGGACTGGGTAGTATGAACTCACTTGCAGCGGCCGGCCGTGATTTTGGCGGACATGCTGGTGCTGGAGATGGTTCTGCAAGTGCTGCTACGGCCGCCTTACAGCGTGCTAGAGCAGACAAAACGTACCGAAGAAGTTATTCCCACGCAAAACCACCCTATTCTTACATTTCCCTGATAACAATGGCAATCCAAAACAGCCCAAGTAAAATGTTAACTCTTAGCGAAATCTATCAATTCATCATGGACTTATTTCCTTATTACAGGCAAAACCAACAACGTTGGCAAAACTCTATACGACACAGTCTCAGCTTTAACGACTGTTTCGTGAAAGTTCCCAGAACTCCGGACAAGCCTGGAAAAGGATCTTTTTGGACATTGCATCCAGATTCTGGAAACATGTTCGAGAATGGGTGCTATTTACGACGACAGAAACGATTTAAATGTGAAAAGAAGGAAGCCGTCCGCCAGGCTAATAAAGGCTCACACAGCAGCAATAGCAGCCCGTCCCCTTCTGGTAAAGGCAGTGACAGTCGTATGTCTCCGCATTCGCACCAGCAGCCACCCCATCATCTTCAACAGCATCACCATATACAGCGTGGTACGCCAAATAGTAGCCCTCATCCAATGAATCCACAAGGGTATGGTGGTCACCAAATGACCCAACACCCAAGCAATTCTCATCTGGTTGAGGCCTGCAAAGCTGAAGACCCTTCTTGCTGCAGTCCCCCAATTAACGGACAGGGCATGCATCACGCCGCTCTTGAGCATCAGCTGGCCGCTATTCATCCGCGGAATCTCACCGAAGCCGCCGTCCTACATTCCGGTATGTTGGCCGCTGGACAGTTAAAAACGGACCCGCATTTTAATCCTTCTAATCATCCATTTTCCATCAACAACATCATAGCCAGCGAGAACAAAGCAGATATGAAACTTTATGACATGGTTCAATATGGGGCATATGCCCCCCTGTCCCCTGTGGGCCCCGGCGGACAGCATTCCTTGCCCAATGATGCCTCTTCATATTATCATTCATCTTTATACTCTGTCCACCAGTCCACAACGTCGGGCATGTAGGTAATTAACCTCTAATGACATTCCATTCATTTATTATGAACTATATAGATATATTTATGTGTATTCGTAAAGAATATCTTAAGGTGCTGTAAAGTAAGCTATATAAATATAATTTGTAAATAAAACAAATTTTATTAGTCATCTTTAACAAATTAATTCTCTTTATTTGATATTTTCATGTTCATTTTACTGAGTTCTATAACTGTTTTCTTTTCAGTTTATTTACAAAACTTAATGCAAATTGATTTTATGTTTAACGAATCCAAAAAATAAGAATTTAAAATCATATAATTTAGACTATTATAATAATACATGTATAATATTTACAAGCAATATCGTTTATATAATTTATCGTTTATTGATTGGTTAAAAAAATTTATATAAATAGTTCTAAAGATAAATCTGAGCAAATGAAATTCAATTTTTAATTGGTTTGCCTATTTATTTATTTTAGAAAATTCATTTTTCCATTCGAACTTTTAATATAAATATTTTTTAAAAACCATTTTATAGGTGTAGAAAATGCATAGTATTTTGTTCAAGCTGTTAAGTTTAATGTATATTTATTTATAAGCAAAGATATTTTTATGTAAATTGTACTGTAATATTTAGTTACAAAATTAAAATTTATCTTATTGTCAATTAAATGCCAAGAACAATAATTAAAATAAGAGTTTAGCTTCTTATTATTTATGAAATACTATGAATAACAATTTATGAGCTAATTTTGTAATTGCATTTGTTTAATCGTTCATTTAACTGAAGTTCGTAACGATTATTTGCATGTTAAGTAATCATAACTTTTTTTCGTTCAAAGCGCGTAAATAATTTATTTTTTGTGTTTATTTTTATATTTAACTGACACAAAAATATTAGTGAAACCTGATTAAGTTCTATTAACTGCCTTATTATTTTCCTAAAGAGTTCCTTTCTTTAAAAAATAAAAAAACAGCTAAAATATAGAAGACGTTTACATTTCAAAGTCTCCCTAACATTTATCTAAGTGCCAAGAAAAAAAAAATATATACTTTGGTTTTTCGATTTTTCATAAATTATTTAAAATTTTTTTCATTGAGAAAATTGTGTTTTCAAGACAGTGTCTTAGAAAATTATGAAATTTAAAAAAAAAACGTGTAATAAATGTAAAAATGAATTTTAAAATGTGATTTAAAGGTATTGTATTTATCTATTCAAAAGAATAAGAAATCAGTTTTATATGGTTATTTATTATTTTCTGGTAAAAAATTCAGCTCTCAATCCATTGAAAACAATATAGTGTGTATTTTATAGTACAATAGCAGTTCGAACAAATTGACATAAGCACAGTTGTCAAATGTTTGATTACGAGAGTATAAAAATATTTACCATATTACGCAGTCAGTATCGTATATAATATTTGTATTTGACAATGGAATAAAAATTTTATCACTAAGCTTCAAACAGTTAAATATTTACTTAAATCGATTAAAATATTTATCAACAATTAAATTACTTAACATTTTAGAACAATATGTACGATAAATCTTAAGACTTTTTTTTTTCTTTTTTTTATGCTCCGTATGATTAGTTATTTCTTTCTTCAGATTTTTATTTAGCTTTCAAATTTTTACGTACACATTATTTAATCTAAATATTCTGACGGAAAAACTTTCAAAAAATTAGTTTTAAAGGAAACTAATGTTTTTTTTAATTACATTTATTTTATAATAAAATATTTTTTTTTAAAAAATATTACATCTAATAAAATCGATATTAATATTAAGTTTTTATATTAAATGCTGTTTGGAATTTTTTTTTACAAACTTGCCTTTTAGATAGCAAAAATATCTTTAAAAAATCATAAATGGAAAAATAATTTTTTTTTTTTCCAACCAATTCATTCTTTGAACTTTGAAACATTACCTCCAGTAAGTTCTTATATTTAAATATTGTTTGGAAATTTTTTTATAAGTTTGTATTTAAATCACAAAAATATCTTTAAAAAATCATTAATGAAAAAGCAATTCTTTTTTTTCTTCGACTAAGTCATTCTTTGAAATTTGTTTTAAAAGTTGGTAATTTTAATTAAAAATAATTGTAAAAGTTTTTGTCAGCTTTTCATGTTAACATATAAAACTACGCATTACAAATGTCAGTATAATCCAAAATATAACTATGCGTTTTATTTTAATGTGTTTTTCATAAAGTATTAAACTAAGCTGAAGGCTCAAGTTTAGATTAAATAATGAAATTTAAAACAAAATAAATCAGTTTCTTAGTTTTCATTGTTACTTTAAAACTAATCAATCTTTTTTAACTGAAATATTCAGCGCTGTTAAACAGTTACATTGATTAGATCTTTACTGCTCTGACAAAATCTTTAAAAGTTTTCCCGTTAGAGCTGTTTTATATCATAGAATAATAGCTGTTCCACATTATAAATATATTTACTATAGTTCTTTTAGCTTACATGTTTTGTTTGAAATGATATTCGTTATAAATTCATTATCACAACGAAATTCATTATTATTCCGATATAATTATTGCGTATGAAATCACACAGTACCCTAAGCGAATTACCTGTTCATTTCTTTAGCCATATTTTTTTTTAAAATTCGCTTGTTGTATTTTAAAGTAAACTAAATTCTTTGCCATGAGTTAAATTTAAAATTGGTATTTCATATTTCTGTGAGAGAAAAAAGACTTAACACGGAACTTTTAATTTTTTTATATTTTTGAAACATAAATTTATATGTTTAGCATATCCAACTATATATACTTTTCAGCTTTAATCTCATATGGTGCGAAAAACGGGAAATTTTTTTTTCTTATAAGTTTTGTAGTTAAAATTTGTCCGATTTGTAACTAAAAGTCTTTAGATATAAATGATGAATTCTAAAATTAGCTTTGGCATCTTTCCGAGGAGCGTTTCAAAAAACCATAATAATCTCATTTTCATGTTCAAATTAACTTTCAAATGCTTATTACGACGAAATTTATGTTTATTACATCTAAATTTTAAATCTTCAATCATACAGTATCAAAATCATACGTTTTCCATCTCAGCCGTATATTAAATGAAAACATTTAAAAAAGTGTGCATTACTATTCTTGCATATTCAAATTAACGTACAAATGTTTATTACGAAGAAATTTATGTTTATTTCATCTAAACTTTAAATCTTTATTCATACAGTACCAAAATCATACATTTTCCTTTTTAGCCGTATATTAAAAAAAACATATTTAAAAAAGTGTGCAATACTTCCATTAAATATTATTCGAATATTAATTATTTTTGTTGCATTCTCATAAAGAATTAATAATTTTAAAAGTTTTATAGTTTTTTGTGAGTTATTAAATGTCATTGATGCTAAACATATTTTAACGTTGCTTTACTCTGCAATATAATTAGCGAAAATTTTTATGCCATTAGCCTGATTGCGAAAACTAGCCAATTTCAAAGATTGGTTTTAAGTTAAAAATCAAATGAATGAATCTAGAGTTCATTGAAATTAATCTGGAGTAAATTTCGTTATTATTTCATTGATAAATCGGAACCAGTAGTCATAATAATCTTTCTCATTTGTATAATTTGTTACAATCGACATTAACAATTCACTGTAACTAAATTACCACATTCTTGTAGAAATTAAACGAAAATTAAGCTTTAAAGGGAGGGCTAAATAAAAAAAATCGATTATTGAATGGTTTTATCTCTTAAAAATAGTACTTTTTATAATTTTAATTATGTCTAATTTTAATTTAAATTGCGTAAGTATATTTTTGTTAGGACAATTTTAATTAAAAAGTTAATACGCATGATTTGCTTACTTCTAGAATCGAACTAAAAAGTAAATAATATAGGGAACAGTTTCATTCAACATTTTAAATTCATTCTTAATGTTTAAGGTTACCATAATCTTGTATCTTTAATGCATAATTTCTGTCTTTAAATATAATTGTGCGTTGTCTTTCATTATATAAATGGACATTATTGCTCAAAAATAGGGAATCATATCTCATTATTGCTTATTTGTTAAGCTTAATTTAAATTTCAAAAAAATGGATTATTTAAAATGAAGAAGCTGTTTTTACTCCTAAAAACAGCTTTGAATAAATATTAAAAGCAATTGTGTGGATTATTTTTAAACACATCTTTGTAATGATTAAATACACTTATATCATCACGCCATAGGTTTTAAACACGCTTAATAAAATTTCAGCCCAAGATAATGCTTTAAAAACATGTTAAAAGCATTATGAAATCAAAAATGGTACAGCATGCTAAAATGTTCTAAAATTGTAAATATTATTGCCTGTAATTCTGGAAATTTAGCATTTCTAGGATCTTTATTTAAAAAATACTTCCTTTGGTTGAGCGCGCTATCTTATAAATTTGTTAGAATTATACACGAATAATATTGGAAGAAAAATAAAATAATAATAAATATTAAAAGAATGCTTTATTTACTAGACTTTAAAATAATTATTAGTATTTCTGTAAGTATTACTGTACTGCGTTTAGTGTACTGGTTTAGTTAGGACAAGACGAAGTCTTGACTCCTGGTAGAAGAGAAGAGGTACTATAAAGAATGTTATTTAAATATATTCCGCTCAATAGAAAAGTCCCGTGAATTTTACGAAGCAGAATGGGAAATTTTGTTTATTTTAATTCAATTTTGTTTAGTTCTTGTTCTATATTCCAAAGCTTTTATTTCTGAAAAAAGGACTGTTCTAAAGTGATTTTTACGTCACATAATTTTAAAGAATGTACGACGTTTTTGCAAGGTTTCTAGTTACTTCAGAAACGTAAATAAAAGGTTATGATAGTGTCGACAAAAAACTTAGATCTCAGTGACTTTTTTTTCTTCTCTTTTGGCTTTTAATGTTCATTACAAGTGTTAAAATAATGTAAACGTATTTTTTTATTCTGATATAATTTGTGCTGCGTGGAATGTTGTTATTAAAACTTTTGTAACGTTCATTTAATTCTTTGCTGTATCTAATAATTATT